GGCTTTATACATGTCCAGACCCAGGAGTAAAAGATTTCTAGGAGCAGAGAGGTTGGCATTTCATAATGTAAAACCATGGCAGGTACTTAATATATCCACAACAATACAACAGCAACCATAGAAAGGCAATTGGTATATCATAATGTAAAATCATGGCAGGCGCTGTTGCTTTCGATAAGAGGTGTCCTTTTATATATTAATTTATTCTCACTTCCAAAAGGAGTAGGAAATATGCCTAGATATGCACTGATGTTGTAGAAGTGGGAGACATTAGCATATGAAGCCTTACTGTTGTGATATTGTGGAGACTTAGAAGACAGAATGAGTAAAAACAAGTCTTCCAAACTTCACTTTGGCCTAAAACTTAGATTGGATCACATAATTTCAGTCTCATTATCTTGGGTGTCACAAAAATTGGGATGAAGACTAAACCATGAACTGCAGATTATCCAATCCTGGCTTAGACTAATCTTTGTGGGACAATTTCCCTTCTGTTCCTGAACATTCTTGTACCAGATTCTTTGGCCTGACACATTTTGTCAATCCTATAGGATATACGCTGCATGGTTTGTACAGGTTGAGCTTGAAACAGAAAAGTGGGGAGGTTAACATTTTGACTATAATGCTGTTATAAATGTATTCATTAATAAAGAGGAAACCATGTGATTTGTTTGAAGAAGATATTTGCATTGCCTTGAAGCTACCCAGTGGTCTCTTATTGGCTCCTTATAGCTTCTCCTAGTTTTCCAAATGCTAGAGGAGTAGCAGTCCAACCTAGCATTTTTCAACATTTGCAAAAACAAGTAAAGTTTGTGTTTTCACAGTCCTAGAGAAGTCTGAGGAGAGGTTACAAAACAAAGCATGGAGAATTGCAATAGCTGTTTCTTTTCACTCTTAGAATTGAAGGGTCCACTTTGCTTTGTGAGGAATCTTTGAGGGGATTCTTGCTTAAACCTTGGTTGAAGAAAATCTGCTTTTTAAAAATTTGGACAGAATAATACCTACTTTCAACGTTTTGAAAGAAAGGGTTCATATACAATGCTAAGGTACAATGAAACCTATAGTTTAAATTTGTAGGGATAATGTCCTTCCAAAACATGTTCATTTATCCAATGGGAAATACCTGAAAAGGAGAGATTGTAATTTTGGAACGTGCAGCCATTTTGTCTATTACACCTCAAAATCCCAGCTGTATTTCTCAAAGCAGATTGTTCCTGTTTGAAATAGTTTTGTTCACTGGATCTCATTTCAAGATCTCACTATCCCTTTTTTGCATCTTCTTCTTCTTCTTCTTCTTCTTCTTCTTCTTCTTCTTCTTCTTCTTCTTCTTCTTCTTCTTCTTCTTCTTCTTCTT